GCCGGAAACAAGGCATTGGAATTTTAAAACCCATCTCACCGGAAATGGGATACTTGCATTCGCCCTATTGGTGCGATCGAGGTGGCTTCTTTCCTTCTTCATGCAAGAGGACCTTAAATAAATTTGAGTGTTACAAGCGTTGAAAAAAGTTATATACTCGTACAATTGTTTGTGCAACATTCCTTGAGCTCGCCCTGTAGCATGTTCTGGGGGGTCTTTCTTTTTTTTTGTGTAGCCTAGGATACTCGTTCAACGGCTGATACCCTAAGGGTCCATTGGATTGAATTAGTGAATTCTTGGGTTTCTCCCGATCGACACACTCACGGCGATTGCTTTATGCAGGGAACAGAGTGGGAGGTAAGAGGGGGAGACAGAAGCACGTTTTTGTCCTCCCTCCTCAACGCTAATAATACATACGACATTCCACTTTCCTGGCCGATATATTCCGATGTATCACATTCTAGAAAACGGAAGTCGACAGTGGAAGAAATAGGAATCGCGCAACTACTACAAACATAGATGACCTCATGAGTTGATGCATGCATAATTGGGGCACTTTTGGTTTTTCATCAAGGGACCGTTATTTCTGTACAATTTTAATATAATATTCTTGGGATGGACGCGGACATCGGGGCCCTCGTCAACTGGAGTCTGGAAATATGTGTCCCCGGGTGTACATACCCGGGACCCCTTGTGAATTCCCCAGGCCCAGGCCAAGGTGCTCAGGTATTTATTAAATCAGTACGGGGTCCATGATCGATCGATCGATCGATAAAAATCATCGCACTCGAAGTAAGCTCCCTCACTTTGGAACTCCTGGGCGCCATTCTATTTTCAACTAAGGCCAGCACACACGCACACACGCACACACGCAGACGCAAAGCGAGGGGACTCCACGTGAAATGAGACAGCACAGAAACACACTGGGTCCTCGATAAATTGTGATCTGAAGCGTGTGCCATGGTTGAGCGGTTGTCGAGGTTCCCCAATTCATAATTCCATATTTTAAAGGCCCATTAGTATGTTAGAACGTTTAATTTACAGTCGCAATGTTTTCAAAACTTACATGTACATTTGAGTCACACAATAGAAATAAAGAATATGACCATCTGTTTTATAAAGGACTTAAGATGAAAAAAGTGTAGATTGATTTTGTTCAATGTATGCATTGATTATGTGAGGGAGAAGATATGTATATGACGCCCGTTGTGACCGATATCGCATTTTCAGCGATTCTCGAAAGAAGTGTTGTGGCACCCAAAAAAACACACGGCGATGGCCCAAGAGACATCGAAATAAGGTTGCTGTTGCGGAACGTCAAGCAGAGAACGTGACAAGGACCCATCAGCGAACTGTCGTCGGCCTTGCAGCATAAACGAAACTATAAAGACGACAAAAGAGGTTGTATTTCCAACAGATAGGGAGAATTGACGCTAACTTTGATCCGAGGCGAGCAAACAAAAAACGAGTCGGAAATTCGTCAAAGTGGGAAAGGAATGCGAGGCTGGAAGGAGTGGCGATGCTCCGAGTCAGGTGTCGCTAGCGTATTTCCATTCTGGGCCTTTTAAGATTCAAAACGCTTCCGACTCTGCGAATCGCAGACTGTAGGTTAAGGAGGTATATAGTACGCGATCACTTAATTGATTTCTTTGAAAAAACTTCGTAATATACTAGTTTTTGGACACCTAGAAAAAATCAAGCCAGTGTAAGGATTCGACTCTGAACCTTTTAGCAGCAGGCCTTGAATCCCTTCCAGCCGAGCAGAGCTGAAGATGCCAAGATTACGAAACACATATTATTTTGCCGTAAAGATTTGATTTAAGTTGAGGCGATGTTGGTTGATGGAGACAACAGAAATTGAGCAAAGACGGTGATACTTTCCCGTCAAGACCCGAATGTGGCTATGTCGGGGATCCGTCAACCGATGTGTACAATAGAAGCACGGCTCTTGATCAAAGCAACATCCCTCTTCTCCCGCTCAGCCCTATATATGTATATGTATATATATACCATGTCGAGGAGGCCGGGAAATTTTGACCCGAAAAGAGATGCAACACGCGAAACACCAAAATAGGAAATGTCAAGGAAGTGGCTGCAGCGAACAAAACTAAATACTTCGCCTGGCATGGTCTGACTTTTTAATTTTTAATTTTTAATTTTTTTTATTTATTATTTGTTTTTTCTTGATATGCGTTCGACGAATGAAGTTTTTGACAATGGCAATCCGGTATCATCTCTGGTGGAACTATGTTCGGATAATATTACTCTTCGAATCATCTGCCAGGGCCGATGAGCCTGGTTGCTCAAGGAAATTCTGACACATGAAGACGAGATGCCCCACTCGGTCACTGCGAACAAAGTCACGTCAGTTGAGGAAGCCCCGATTAGGTCGCTGGTATAAAGATATGAGATTGCCTCGTTCCTCAGAGGAGTTACATTCGCGTAAGATACTCTCTTCCGCAGTTCCATATAATTCTATCTTCAGACTTGTTCTAAACCTCTTATCGGATCATTATATAATCTTTTTTTCGTCTTCAAAGACTTGGACAAAAATTCAAATTCACAACCCCCAATATCCATATATCATTCAGAATGGCATCTACGGAACCAACGATGCAGGTTATCGATCTAAACGCGGAGAAATTCCCCGAACCAGTTGAACCGCTGAAAATTGATAAGTTCAATTTATCTGCATCAACGGTAGATATGAAGGATCACGTCGGTAAGGATAAATCTATAATTACAAATCCCTGAACCGAAACATCTAACGAGATGTAGCCGCTTCTATGGTGGGCTTATTCACCGTACACGCACTTGTTCGCCGTACTCTTCGTTGCGTCGCCCGCCAGGCCGGAAGCGTAACACACTCTCAACGTCCCGCTTTCCTTACATACGCCAAAGTAGCTTTCTATATCCTGGAAAGCCATCACGGCCATGAAGAAAACCTTTGGTTCCCACTCATGAAACCGTACATTGATTTCACAGAATCGAGCCACGAACACGAAGAAATTGAAAGATTGCTCCACAAAAATCTAGAATATACTAAAATTGCGGAAGAACACTTGAAGGGAGGACCCAACGCTCCTGAATGGCCTGGTGAAGAGATGGCGTCGACGACCGAAAGGCTTATAGAACTTTTACTCCCACATCTTCAAAAAGAGGAAACGCTAGCTTGTTTGTACGGTAGAAGGGTTCCGAAATCTGTGTATGATGAATTCGAAGAGAAAATACAAAAGGCAGTAATGGAAGAGATGAAGCAGAACGGTATGATTTGGAGCGTATCCTTCCAACTACGACACTTCAATAAAAAGGAGAAGGAGATCTGGCCGCCAATGCCTACCCCCGTACGCGTTATCTTTGAATTTCTTGGATGGCTAGCCTACGGCAAAAGGCTCGCTTTCGGGCCAACAGAAGAGGAATTGAAGATGTGACCAATCTCATTTCTTATTATTTCTGGCGTTCGGGGCCTTGAGTTTGTTAGCGAATAATCACCTGTAAATAGATCTACAAAATAATGAATTATATATATTCTTTTATAACTAAACGAAATCAAACTATTCTATTATATACTACTTTTTAGCCCTTTGATTCTAACCGAAAATAAGTTGATGGTTTTATAGGCCTCTAGAGCCCAAAGTTATCTCTAAGGCTCTGCCTCACTCTCGCGAATTTGTTAAAGGCCTTGTAATACGAGCACCAGCTTCGGGACCAAAGGGACGTATTTGTCTCACATCTTCCGTTACAGAAAGTCTCCACATTCCAGTACGGCTTATTCCTTGCGAATATTATATGTAACGCTCGTGTTTGGTTCCAGTCGCTGAAAGTATAACCTTTTCTGACGATTAGACCTAGGTCAAAGCTAACTAAACTCCCGGATCACTAGCACGGTCTCGATGTATATGAGCACAGAACCAAGACCCTCTTAGTGAGAATTTTCCTTAGGCACTAGTCAACAAGGAACATATGAGAGTTGATTACCCTTAGTACACTACGAACTACTATTACGTAGAATCATTGCTATCGGTTCCACATAACTGTAAAGGAACATGGGAGATGATATATTCCAAGTTTTTTGTTTTTTTTCTTCACCAGTTAACATCTTTGATCAATTGAGAAGGGCAACACTCGGAATCAAAGATCAAAGCCAACGTTGATACACGGAATCTAATCTCTAGTCTAGTTAATTAATTCAAGAGACCACAAAATTATTTGATGAGACGGGTTGGTAGCTACCTTGTTTCCTATAATTTTAGACTTTGGACAAAGATCTGATATTGAATTCAGTACACCATTTAGAAAAATAAACTGTAAGTTAAGGTAGTGAACAGCCGTTAATAACTCAGCACCTACCACTTCGATTTTAAGAATTTTCAGTTTTCATTCTTCGGTCCTCAAATCTAGTTTTCGAGGAGAGCCGACTTGGCCTTAGGGAAATAAGGTTATATGAATTGTAAGATCAATTATGAAATCCGCCTACTATGACAGTTGAGACATACTTTGTGCTGAAGATACTATAGTATATTACAGATTTAGATGTGCATTTTAGTTGCACTAGTTACTTTAAACCAAAAAAGTTTTAATTTATGACACGGGTGAAACTCTGTACATGGACACAGCTAAAAAGGGTAGGATATTATGGCATCTGATTCTTGAAGTAGCACATATTTTAATTCAAGAATGATATCTAACCTTTAATCAGGGGAGTTGTAATTCTTTATCAAAGGTATAAAATTTAGAGCTTCTTTCGATGTATCTTCGACTCAAGTGCTTTATCCATGGCCATTTATTTACTGTAATATGGATATGTGGATCTTTTATAAACTTTGGCTACGCTGCGTTATTACCGTCTGTAATCGTGATCCGAAGCAAAAATGTTGCAATGTTCAACGCAAATAATACAACATGCTCCAAAAGTTAAATCCTGCTCAACCTGCCTAAGTGAGCAGTCGACAAAACTTGCTATGACAGCCAAAAAAAAAAACCAAAAAGAAATGGTTAGTTGCCAGCACCAGGAATCGAACCTGGGTCGAATCGGAGCTTGTTCTCGAAGGAGCCGAGACATCCACAACGATACGTACTAACCACTATACTATGCTAGCGGAGATGGAAAATACGATGGCAAAAACATATATGACTCCTCTAGCAGTAGAGTTGCTGTTTGTCAAACTACCACAAGAACAACACAAATTTCAGCCACCTATGATATGGATGTTTCGGGTCTAGAATCTAGCGTTTCGGTAGCTTCGTATCTTCCGAACGAGATCACGAGAATGTGTTCCGAACAAGCCACGATACTGTTGTACTCCAATGTTTGAAAATTTAGATACCAAACCTCCGAGGAACAAGGACACTCGAATACACAATACGGATCTCCCATTGATACACTAGCCTATTTGTATTGAGAAAGGCTTACCAGATCTATGAATTACAGCCCTGGTCGGCTCACGGCTCAAGTATACCTCATGAATGACATATTTTCTTAAAGTCTAGGTATTATTTTTTCCTTTTCGCCTTACTTAGCAGGGGTAAAACATTTCAGTGTGAACTGTCACTAACAGTATTTTGGCACCATATCTGTGAAAGCAAACGTATGCCACGTACTCAAATCTTCGGATCATCAGCTGATATTTCCTTCACTCTTGCAATGTGCATTGCATTTTAATATCAATTACTTTGATCTAATAGGGTCGACCTTTAGAATCTATGAAGAAAAGGAACGAGTTCACTTATATATCACATCCTAACGATATATAGTTGATTATCGCATAGCCGAAACACCTACAGATTGCGAATGCATATGATGCAGCAGGTGCCCTGTTACAGAGGGCGTCACGAGCTTAACCCTCCACCCCCCTTTTAATTTTTCTTTGGAGGAGACCCGGGAGGGAAAAAAAATTTTAACGATTAAAATTTTTACTCTTTGCTTGTGTTCTAGCTAGACTTCTAGATCTCATCTGGTTGCATATCGCTCTAGCGTTGTGACCCCGTTATCATTGGGGTACATTACGCTTGCTGTTAGTAATATTCTTTACTTTGGAATAAAGGAATTCCGTTCTTGCTTGGGTTGTAAGAAGAAGATCTTGTCTCGGACATTGCTCTCGGTGTCGTGGATAAAATATACTCGCCTCGCCAAGGAAATATATACCACTATTGTCTCGTCAACATACATAGAACCGTCATTGCCTCACTCTCTTAACACCTCTGTTAAGAGTGATCCGCATAGGCAGCAAGAAATAGATTAATCCATTTACACAATTGGCAACACTAAGGAAACACCATACATACGTGACAGCCTACGAACGGTGGGGAATATTTCTCACTCTCAGAGCCTAAAAAGGGCTGAATGTGAGAGTTGCGTTTTGCGTGCATTCAGCATATATCCTGGTTCTAGGTAAACGGAGAATTAACAGCAGCCAGATAATAAGAAAAGAAATCGAAAAACACACTGTCCGGATTTGGGAGGGAAAACGACGTCTAAATGGTGGTTCATTGTTTTCCGATAAGGTTTCCGGCTTCCTTTTTGGAGGCGTCCGTATTTCCATGGTCAATTGAAAGATATGGCTTGAAGATCTCTTTCTTGGTCGGCTTGGGTTAAATCTCTTGGCTTTTTGCGACCCGCTCGCGAGTTAATCACTCGATCGCTCTTGCCCCGCTTTTAATTCAGAAGAGAGCAATGACATTTGCGATGGCGTTGTAAGTAACTGAAACGTCAATTGTCAAGGTGAGAGTCTCAAGGTTGAGGCGATCAAAAGTGTGATTGATGCGTTTACGTTACCAGGTGTTTGAGCAAACAAAGTCAGACACTCCATCTTGGTTTTGAGGCTTCGATAAGCAATTGGCTGGCCCGAAAGTGTCAAAAAAAAAATAAAAATAAAAAAATTCAATACCCGACCAATTGGGGGGCTTGGCTGGGCGAAGGCGAGGGAGAAAAGTACACAGCAGCTGTCATGCAAGAAAGATGTGAAATTCCCATGATCATGCGCTGTGAGGGAATCACATTAAATGCATTTCACATATGCATCTTGAATCACACGAGGGAAAAAAATTAACTTAAGCCAAATTAAAACATCTACCATTGTAGGGAGTAGAGTAGTGGTGACATCTGGGGTATAGATCTAGTGTATGTATTGTAGGCGAGAAATAAGTCACACAAGCTTAGATGATGGCAAAATTAAAGAACCCTGCGTGTGGGTGTGATTTGAACAGATTGAATTTGTACAGGGATGGCAATGTCAGCATGTCGACATCGTTAGCTGTCGGCGAGGTGTTCTCTTCGAGGGGTGCCTCGCAGACGAGGATACACCGTTTGCGTTTAACACATATGGACGCTGAGCTGAGAGCTTTTGCAAATTTTGATCCCCACGGAATCGTTTTAGAATGTTCTAGCCGAGGTAAGAAGAAAGAGCTCGGAGGATTGGAATATCGGGAAATAGAAAATAGAAATAAAATAAATTAAAATTAACATCTATCGTGGGAATCATAGAGATCGAAATGGGGGAAACCGAAGGCGCTCGCCAAGGGCGATTTCTGATGGTGTCGGCTGGTATCGAGGCGCCGTCTTATCCGGATATCCGCTTCCCTTCCGCGTTCGAAACCTGCCAACTTTCCCGAGTTCGGCTACCAGGCATCCCTCGCAACAGAGGCCTGTTGCGTAGTCTGGTACGACCGGCTTGCGAGCTCTTGCAGTTTTGTCGTCAAAGTGTCTGCAGCGTGCGTGTGAGGGAGAAAAGCAGCATCTGTTCTCGACCTGGCGCGTTTGAGATATGCGGGCGAGCTTGAGGAATCCGGTGCATGATCAACCGGCTTCAGCTTCCGCAGGCCCCATTCGACCGTCCTTGAAGGCATTATTATTACTCTGTTCACTTAATGATCTTTAGGCACCCCGAGAGTAATTTGCGTGCTCGGAATGCTCTTGGTTGAAATGACGATACCAATGAGATTGATTCAAGATTAGGTTTTCTGGGGTCAAAGCTAAGGATCTACGACGCTGGACGGTTTAAGCGACTGTCCGAAGAATAAGCTTCTTCTCTTTGGCTGCGTCGAGTTCGACAGGATGCTCAAAAGTCAGCTTCGTTTAATTCGCGTGCTGCAGATTGAGACTCCTTCTGACATATTGTAATTTCACAAGCCCCACTTGACGGCTAAAAAAAAGTGAACCTGAGGATCGAATTCTCATGCCCTCGTAATCCAGCGGCATCTCGTCGACAAATATGCATAATACTTTCCACTATTGACTTCGTGTAATCATTATTGAAAGGTGATCGAAACCGAAAGGTGCGGAATGAAGGCAACTGCGGTTAACGTTCTGCTTCCTGTCACCTCCTATTCTTTCGACGTATTTGCATGCCAGCTGCTCGGATCCTCGCGTCTGTCGATTGCAAGAGAGGGGAGAAAATGAAACCTAATGGAGAGCGGCAAGTTGGGAGGTGTGGGGAACGGGGTGATACACTCTTGCTGCTCTGACCACTCGGAAGGAGGCCCCCACACCCGCACATGACAGCCTTTGATCGAGTCCAACCAACCAACAGAGTCGAGGTTTTCTGGTTTTGTGTGTTTTTTTTTTTTTTTTTTTTTGCTCGAAAAAAGAGATGGGCTTCGTTTTCCTCGGGAAATAGCCATCGCCTAAGGTCTGATTCATGCCATCCGACCTGATTGGAATGATTTTTCACCCCCTCATGGCGGCTTGGGAGGAAAAATATGAATGGATGGTTTTAAACGATGGCGTCGTCTGGTTCAGGGCGGAAGGCCTTGTTAGGTAAATTTCTTTATTTTTACATTTTCATTTTTGATTCTTGCCCTCGACATCTGACAGCCGGAAAAGTCAGCCGAGGGCTGTTGATAGAGAAATTGCTTGGATTCATTCCATCTGGCACGGATTTCGAGAATAGAAGGTTACGACGACACCTTGCGCTCACTGAGACAGAAAGCTAAGAGACAGGATGGTCTGGTCGACGATAGTGTCTGTTGCTAGTTGCTAGTTGAGCTTGCTTGCTTGCCCTGGCTCGATCGTCTCGACCAAGCTCCACACCGCTTCTTCCCTCCTCGATCCGTCTTCTCTCTTAGTCTCGAGAAAAGGTAGCTTTCTATTGGCTGGTGGCTACAATTAGCTTAGCTCAAACGGCACACAAACAAACCAGTTTATTTTATTTTTTCAGTTGCTGGAGATTTGATTCTGGAATCGCCCTGATGCGGTTCAGTTCGCATCCAAATAGGACGCAAAGAGCGGTAGTGTAAATTCCAAGTCGCAAAAGGAACAAACAATATGGAATATATCTTGAGACCGAGGAGATATATCTTTAAGAACTCTTGCATTCAGAGGTCTTCTCAAAGTCTCAGTCTAGGCGACCTTATTGATTGCGTCAAATGCCGAAACCAAGAAAGGGAAAGAAAAAAGGCCAACAGGAGAAGCCTGCTTCTCAGTGATATTATTTGATCCGTCAAATTCAGAGGGACGGAAGAACCAACAAGGGAACGCACGCACACACACTTGCAAGTGAACCCACCTCGAGTGCCATTTATTGAATGAATGCCAGTTTACCGCTAACAAAGCTTGGTGGAATAATTAAGACTTGCATTGAGCAAGATTAAGTGAGACGGGGAAACGGTCAAGGGTACGAGGGAAACAACATGGGGGGTGTGAGGGGTGGAGCGGACACTAGCGCGGAAAGGGTATTATTATCCTGCGAGCGAGAAGAGCGTTGGTGGGAAGCTGGGCATTTCATCTCCCTGACTCTCTCCCAAGTCGCCTCTCGCAATGGGCATGTTGTTGTTGTAGTGGTAGGGAAAGAGGAAAGAGGAGAATGATATGAAGAAGCATGTTTCGGTCGCGAAAGAGGTCAGGCGAATGATCTGGGAGAGAGAGGCGAGAAGTGGTGATAGCTTTGGTAGAGAGGGTGGGATTGGTTCCCACCTTTTGCTTTCCCCAACTGATAATGGGCTAGGCCGGACAATCAATTAATAACAAGACCCTTTTGATGTTATTAGACTGTCGTATTTTGGCCGAGGGGACCGAAAGAAGCCAAAGTCGAAGGCGAACGAACGAAAAGAAGGGGGAATATAATTCGATTCTTTCCCCCAATTCTTTCCAGGCTATCTACTT